GGGTGAAAAGACAAGCCTTAGTGCAGGGAGGGCTCTCTTCTGGTTGTCGGGGCTTGTAGCGAGCGGGGCTCAGTCGTCGCTGTCAGATAGGGTCTCGTATTGCTCTGACAGCAGAGACTGCCACACCCGCTGCTGGGCCACCGGAGCTCCAGCAGGAGGCGGCTGCAGCTGCTGTTGCTGCTGCTGTTGTTGTTGTTGTTGTTGTTGTTGTTGTTGATGTTGTTGATGTTGTTGCTGATGTTGTTGCTGCTGCTGCTGCTGTTGCTGTTGCTGGCTCTGAATGGCGGGGGAAGCTATGGAGGTGGGTGGCGTGCTGCTCAGTATGCGCATGGTCAGCGGGTTGTATGGGAACTGCATTGATCCTGGAGATAGATAAGCAGAAGAGAACGTTATTTTTAAATGTTTCTGTCTTTATTTGACCAGGAGACAGTTTCTGTAGATGATATAGGCAGGACAGCTCACCTGTGGATGAGGGTCGGTCGTCCCAGCTCCACTGGGGTTGAGCTTGGGCTTGCCGGTGATAATCTCCCTCGGAGTGGACGGAGGACACTGAGGAGGGACGTTCCCCTCCGGCGTAGGCCTGACCCAGGTTAGGGGACTTGGTTTTCCGGCTGTTGGCTTTGCTCTGCTTCTGCTTCCCTGCAGATTCAAAAACATTTATATATCATCAACATAAAATTCCTTCTTAACTAAAATGTCCCCATCTAAAAATGTTCATAATAAAGTCTGATTGGTATTGAAGTTTATCCGTCTATCCTATTATCGACAAACAATGGTTTCTTAGCACTACCCCCTGTTGATATGACTCAGAATCGCTCATATATATTCACAATACATTTGAACACTCTGAAAATACTACTTCCTTAAGTGAGTGCCCTGAAAACTAAGATCTATTTTGTCAATGTGGCCTTATGTTATTGTCATTTAGCCTTCATGAGGTCAGTGTAGACACATTCTCATGTAGACAAAAGAGATTGAAAGCACAAATTATTCTCAGATAATATTGAACATTTATAAATGGGCTATATAACATGATTTATTGGGAGATTTATTGGGAGATTCTATGTGAAATCAGACCATAGCACCCCTATTAAAGACAAATAGAATTATCCTCATTTCAAAACAACATTTCATAGCAAGTGCGACAAGTTGTCAACAATTTGGGGTCCCTCGCTGTTGTGAACATGTTTAATTCTGGGAATGTATTTGGTGCTTACCCATACTGGGAGACGGGTTGGCCTCCTGGCGGACTTCGCTGCCTGCGCTGGGTGTGTTGTTGTTGGCGGCAGACTGACCCCCCTGATGCTCCTCTGGCCTCTCCTCCAGGTTGCCCATCAAGGCTTTGCGGATGATGTCCTCTAGGCCCAGGTTATTGGCCGGGTCACTAAATGAGTTATTCCTTGGGTTGATGCTGCCTACAAAGCAACAACACAACAAAACAGACATTTAGAAACAGAGACATCAACTAGAAAGAACTGTGAAGTGTCAGAGAGTTTCATTACTTACTGGAGCTGGTAACAGCAGGCAAGTTGAAAATCTCTGTGCCTGGTTGAGCATTTCCTGCAAAACAATATTTAGCTTTTAAAAATAGTTTAATGTCTGACATGATGGAGCTACACATGATACAATGAGTGAAGTTGTTTCAATGTTATCACATGCTTAATGATCTTGAAAAATGTAAAGGAATTAGTGAATTAACACACGTCTTGCATGCACACATATTAACAGTTCATCATCTGATGCATGCAGGTTAGTTTGAAGTAGGGCTGTACCCGAATATTCGTTCGTTGGAGTACTATTCGGGTTTCAATTTCGTTATTTGGATATTCCGCGCTGCACTGCGGCTGCCAAATTTAATTTATTGAAAACTCCAATATCAACGTAAGAGCTTGTGCCTCTTCCGGGGGTGCTAACACTTAACCATAAACGTTATCGTTTACTTTCTCTGTCTTTATATGTAGATATGACTTTTTCTGCATTAATCTCTGTCACGTTGTTTCCATAGCAACTTCCTGTCAACAGCGTTAACTCTCCTTCAAAATAAAAGCATGTCCATACAAAATAGGAAGCCAAGCCAAATTACACTTAAGACATATACAACTGCAACGAAAGTAACAAACACAATGCGATATCCTTTCAATTTCAAAGAACACAAATTGGGTTTTATACATTAACAAATAACTATAAAACAACAATACTGTAGAATAACAAAATGAATGACGTGAATAGAGTGGCAAGTGCCTCCCTTTCCGGTGGACTTCCATGGGACCTTATTTTGGAAAAATCATGTATTGAAGTCAATGGAGAGAGAAAGATTATCTTTTGATCCCGTTTGAATTGTGCCACGAATTACACATATGATGTTAAAATATAATTTTGCAAGTCAAAAAAAAAAAAATGTGTCGTAAAACTGTGAAGTAACACTTTTTTTGTGTGAAGCGCTCAATGAACTACAACTCTGGTCTTGCATACGTCACCAACACCAAGATGGCCGTCACGTTAGCACATTTCACCTCTTTCTTTCAGAATGAAGTGAAAAGTATTAAAAGAGGTGAAAATCACTACAAGTCTGGCCATGTTGAGAGCTGTATATACACAAAAGGGGAGTTAGTCGGTTCCGTAAGAGCCAGCATGCGGGACCGGCTATACAAGGTTTCAGTGAGTAACACGAGTGTAATGTGTAGCGTTAATGTACGCGACTCTGGGATTTGTAGTCTTTCTAGTTGGGTATTTTTCATAGTCTTATATTTCAACAGTTTCAAGACAAACTGAGACTTTTTTGACATGGAAATGATTTTTTAAGATCGACAAACATCATATGTGTAATTCTTGGCACAATTCAAACGGGATCGAAAGATAAGTTTTCTCTCCATTGACTTCAATACATAATTTTTCCGAAATAAGGTCCCATGGGTCAAGTAGATGGGCGTAGACTTTCGCCATTCTATAAACCCAATATCACGTTGTTGAAGCGGTTCGCTGCTGATTACCACCCCCCTGCGCGGGTCGAATATTCCGCTGCTGATGATCTACCGAATATCCGGAGCCCGAAAAATGGTTATCGGGACAGCCCTAGTTTGAAGAGACAGGATAAGAAGACACCCACTTAGCCCAACATCAGAATCACCCGCGACCACCAGAGTTGGAGTTCAACTACGAAGATCTCCTGCTTCTTGATTTCCACCATAGGCGAGGTGGGTTTTCAAGGCTTGGTAAGAAGGAAGGCGATAGCTTACCTTCCCGGAGAGCGGAGTCATTCCTCTAAAACGAGCAAAGGACAAAGAGTCAAATGGCGGTGGAGGGGTAACTGAGGTGAAAACGCTCTTGGGACCAAGCCCTTTCAACTCGGCCGCGATGTCGAATGAATGCTGACAGGGGGAAGGTGCTGCCTGCTTGTCATCCAACAAACAATTTTGATTTACAAGTCTAATACAGCCAGGCCATCAAATGTCAGGGCCCTAAAAGAAAACTAACTCCAGCAATGTGTTATCAGGTGCAAAACGCTGGTTATTGATCTTCTACAAGCATATAGTAGGGGCTGACATTACATTTACATCACAAAGCATGTAATTTGCACACTCGTCTACATTTTATTTTAAATCAAATTCTAATGATATTTCCATTTTATTGTGTTCAGTTACAATTGTCCTCCATTTGATAATTACATATTTTCTTTTAATTACATTATTTATCATACACAGATAACATAATATAATAATAATAATAATAATTAATTAAATGTTCTGTCTTTATTATATTGTTTATCTTTATTTTTATTCGAGGAAAAGTGTATTATTATATTGAAAGGAAGCGTGGCAGTACAAAAGTCTTTGTTCATTGCTTGAAAATGATGCTTCTTCAACTAGCAAACCATTAAACAAATTCGGCGTCGGTTACTGAAATGCTTAAAATGTTAATAACATTTTAAAACAGATTCTTTATCAGCTTCAGCTATTGACGATGCACAACAACTTCAAAAATATAATTGTAAACCCCTTTGATATCCCGTACCTGATCTCAGAGTTTTCAGCCTCTCGTCTCTGGGAGTGGATTGGCCCGGCGCTTCCTGTTTCTCCCCCATAAAACACTGGATAGCGTTGTGGTGGAGAAATGGGTTCATAGTTCTCGCATCGGCCTGCCGCTTCGCATCTGGAGAATTTAGCGCCGGTGTCTTCTAAGATAGGGAGGCAGAGAGGGACAAAGCATTAGCCTGA